ACTGCTCACCTGCCTGTCTGCCTGATTGCCTCTAACTGCCTCCCCTCCCCCCCCCTCGCTGGCCTGGTCTCCCGCAACAACCACCCCTGCTGGCCTAGTCACCCCAACTGCCCCCACACTGGCCTGGTCACCCATTACTCCCGCTCTGCTGGCTGGGTCTCCCCCAACTGCTCCCCCTACCCCACCAGCCTGGTTGCCCCCAACTGCCCCTCCTGCGGGCCTGGTCGCCCCATACAGCCTGCTGCTTGGTCGCCCCTCACTAAGCCCCCTGCTGGCTTGGTTTCCCTTCGCAGCCTGTTCGGTCATCTGGTTGTGATGGTCACTTAGGCTTTTATTATTATAGATATATAGATTGATTTGAGGGAAGAAGGGAGCTAAAATATCAATGATGAGAGAATCATTGATTGGCTGCTTCCTGCATGCCCCACTCTGGGGATGGAGTCTGTAACCTGGGCATGTGCCCTGGGTAGAATCAAACCCTGACCTCCTGATTTATACATACTTCAACTCTCAACGATCCAGTCATGCTGGCCAGGCAACAAGTGTGTACTCTTGTGAAATACTATTCCCTCTGGGCCCCTTTCCCTCTTATCCTAAACAGCCACTGTTGATTTCTATCAATATAAGTTAACTTTACCTGTCCTTGAACTTGACATTTTCAGAGTCATTCAGCATGAGCTCTCTTGTGTCTTCTTTTGCTCAGCAAAGTGTTTTAGTGATGCATGCATTTTATTTGTATATCAATATGTCATTGTTTTGTTTTTGTTGAGTAGTGTTCCATTGTTTGAATATAGTAAAATCTGTTTACCCCTTCTCCTATTGATGGAAATTTGTGGAGTTTCCAGTTTCTGGAGTTTCAAAGCTGCTGCAATTTGAATGCCTTTTTCATGAGCTTATAGGCCATTCCTATAAACTCATTCATAAAGTGTCTTCGAATCTTTTGCCCTGGTTAACATGTAAAATAATTTAATATGTACCCTTACTCCTCTCTTCTCTACACCATTTTCTAATATATATATATATATATATATATATATATATATATATATATATATATTGCCAAATTGGCATGACAATTGAATTGTGATTAGTCTTAAACACTTTTCAGAGGGCCTTGAAATATACCATTAGAGGTGAAGAATAAGCATTGTAAGAAGTTGCTTCTGATAAGACAGTTAAGTATATTAAATCTACTCATCAAATAAAGTTTTATTCACTGCCAAGAAATCTGAAATGAGACAGATCATTTTCTTATCTTCCCTCCCCTTTGAAATGCTTACTTTGGTAGATAAATGAGAAATCATCCAAGTTCTTGACTTAGGATCCTGGGACAAAAGATCTGTCTGCTGAAGCTGACTGCTTTACTTCTCTTTCTGGCTCATGTTTGCCATGACTATGATTCAAATAGTTCTAGGACATGTTAAAGATCCCAGGTCTCTGTGTCGTCCTAATGGACAGGGCCCTGAGCCAATTTGGTCTTGCACAGCTTCTAGGACTTCTTGATAACAGGTTTCCTGCAGGAAAACTCCAGGCAAGTGAGGTTTGTCCAATCTCAGATAAAACATTGTTTTTCACACAACAGTCATTTATTAAATATTTTTCACAAGTAGGCACATAGCATAACTATCTGTCCTATAAGGCTTGGCTCCTGCAGTTTTAGGTATTCTGACCATTCCTTTATGAAAGGCTCTGTAGGGCACCAAAAGCAACTTTCATAAGTCCTTCTGGCTGGGCTAGTAGCCAAAGCAACAGGAGACAGAACAGCAGGAAACATCTAAAATCATTTTGGATACACGTGCTGGGATGCCATAAGAATGTGATACCCAAAGAGACACTGGGCAGTTGAGGTGTATATGCCATTCTGGACAAAGGAGGAGGAAAAGGTCTGGGACTTCAAAGGGGAAGCTGACAACTTACCAGTGGAGAGAGCAAGTGGGCCATAAACAGATTCTTGCTGACACCCCAGAAACAAGGGGACACCAAGGGAAGGCCAACGAGCAGGCTGTCCCCACATTTCATTTCTGTATGCCCTTCCTTTAAGCAGGTGTTTCTATCTGAATTCCTTAAGGGGGTTTGGCTCAGAGGTTCTTTTTGAGACTTTCGTTTCTTAATAACAGCTTAAAAAATCAATATCCCTAAAGGTATATTTTGGGATGGCAGAGTCTGTGTTGCCTTGAATTGCCATGAATGGAGGTTGTCCCAGCTTATATTCCTACCCACCAGCAATGTTAGCTTCCCCACAAACTCACCACCACAGTGCCTTTCCAAACTCCTTTGATTTTTTTACCTGTCTGAAGGAAAACTAGGACCTTGTAGTTTAAATTTGTATTTCATTATTTTCTTAAGAACAAAGTTGAAAGAAGGTTGGCATCTTTGTGAGATGAAGTTAAAGTATTTTCCCAGTTTATTTCTTTACTTTGTTGCCACAAAACCTTTTTAAAAGTGGGAATCAATTTAGCAGTCGATTGCTCCAGTGGCTTTTAGATTTTATTTTGAAAGGCCTTCTCCAGTTGGACCCCACAAAGACAGAATTCATAGCTTTGTTGTTACGTTAAAGTCTCAGATTTATCTGGAGTTTTAGAATCAAGTTAGGGAGGTTTACTTCTGAGGCAAACACATGTATGTGATATGTAATGTAGATATTGCATTGGGAATGTAAATACAGTGTAATCCTTGGGAAAGAGTTGTTGCTGTATTGTCTGTGTTGTCTGTGTTAAGGGAGGTGTTTGCAAAATTTTTCACAGATTATTAAAGTAACAATTTTTATTTAGAACTAAATTGGGGCTATACTCATACTGTATCAATTCTTTTTCACTTGAGACTATAAGAAACAGGTTTAAAATTTTTTTAAAATGGTTGCTTAGCATGGTGTCAGAATTTTTTTTTTTTTAAAGGAATGATTGACCACAGTAGTAGGCTTACCTTTAAAATTTTGAACTATTTTGAAGATGCAGCCCGACACATGAGAGAGGACACGACACATGAGAGAGGACACGGCTCTGGGCGGCCCAGGTCTGCTAGCCCGGTGCTGGGAGCAGGCAGGGAGCAGAGGTTGCGGGGGCTGAGCGCCGGGAGCCCCTGTGCTGGGAGCCGAGGTTGGGAGGCCGGGGGGCGGGGGGGGGGGGGGGAGGGGGGCGGGGCGCGGTGGTGGTGGCGGAGTTAGGGCTTTCCCCGGGGCCGCGCCTCCCGCCCGGCCTGGATACTGCGCCCTCTGCTGGCAGTGGCCAGGGCGGCGGAGGGAGGCGCCGGAGCCGGGGCTGTGGTCAGGTTCACTGCCTCGCCCTTCACTCCCAAAAAACCCTTTTACGAGCTTTCGGAGCTGCTTTCTCGCCCAGGGCGCCTGCACGGCCCTCCTGCGGCGGAGTCTGGCGCTGGCGGCCGCTGCCGAGGTGGCCAAAGCTCAGCCCGCGCCCTGGCTGTGGTGCCGCACCCCACTGCGGCCCTTTGAGAAGCTTTGAACTTCCGGGGTGACGCCCGGTATGCTGTGGAGTGGAGTCGGTGGCCCCCGGTATGCTGTGGAGTCATTTCCCTGCTTGGGCACGGACCTTTAAACTTTGTTTTTTAAACTTCGGGGGTGTGGCCGCCGTTCCTCCTCTCTCTGCCGCTGGTGGCTCTCTGGCCATCCGGCCCTTCCCTCCCTCCAGCCCGCCTTCCAGATGCTCTGGAGTCATGAGCCTGGAGGGCTCAGGGACCCGTCTGGTGGCCGAGGTGATCAAAGGTGAGTGCGGAGGGGAGGGGGCTAGCCGGTCCCGACACCCAGATGGCATAAGGCTGGCCGGAGATGGAGGCAGCCCAGGTTTCTGGCCAGGAGGAGCCTTTAACTTTCCGGCTGGGGCTAATGCTGTCTCATGGGCGTGGGTGGCCTTTCCGGACTCCTAGCCCCTCTCGCGCTCTTGATTTGGGGTGAATGTGAACAGACCTGTGCCACGGGAAGCCCCCGGCTGAAAGTGAACTGCGTCTCCACCCGAGAGAACAAAGTCTGTGGTCACTGCACGGGTATCAAGGGTCATTTGTGGTTGGCAAAGAGAAAGCCCGTCATCCTTTTGAGTGTTTGTGGTTGCAAGACATTTTAGCTGAGCAGTTTACAAGGAAATAAATAAAGCAGTTGCGTGAGTTGAATTGCTGACAATTACCATTTTGGCAAAGGATGCCAGCTGGCGTCCTTTGTTTCTTATTGCTTTAAAGGCTGAACTTGATTTTGCTACAATTTAAGTGTAAGTATATCTACTAGCACTGCAAGTGTTGTTATAACTGGGTATTGCAGGTGACTGCTTTGTCAGGATTTTTAAGCAACTTTTTCTAGGTTAAAGCGGGGGAGGAAGGTTGGAGCCTCAGAAGATTAGCATCAGTTATTCTTTCTAAACCCTCGCTCATGGCTGCCTAACTGCATTTATGCAACACAAGTTCATCGTACACTCATCATGCAGATACCTCTCATTGCTTAGGTTGCAATGGCAATTTGTCTAATTGTAAAAGTCACTACAAAAGTAGTAGTGATCCCTAAGAACAGTTGGATAAACATGATTCATTTTGTTGTTGTTATGTAGCTTTAAACGTTAAATCTTAAAGCAGTTTTGAAAGCATTCTTTACCTAAAATATGGTTTCATATTGAAGCACTCTTTAGGATGTCGTGAAAACATAGTGATGCATAGCGAAAGCCATCTGGTTGCTGGCTAGCCATCAAGTGCACACTGCCATTTGTTCAGATTTCTTAGTCCAGAGGAAGTAAAGTTTTGCATGAGAGTTTACTCCAGAAATCAAGCCATACTGCTATGTGAAAAGTCACTTGTCATTATTGAAACTTATGGTTAAGGGCTATTTCTCCTTTAAAAAAGTCTTATTTATTTCCACTCATCAAAAGTATCTGTTGGCATCCTTACCATCAGAAACCTGTATGGAAAAATAAAAATTTGACTTCATCTGAAAAGAGTTGTATCATGATAAATGAAAATTTTTAAAATAATCTGAAGGAAGGAACACTGCAATTTTTCCATTTCAGATCGCCTTTGTTTTGCCATTCTCTGCAGCAGACCAAAGAGTTCATCAAATGTACATTATTTCACCATAGATAATGAACTTGAATATGAGAAGTAAGTATTGGTTTTTAAAAGATTGTTAGTAACTTTTTGTTTTTGTTTTTGAAGAATCTAAAGGTATGTTTATAAACAGGATAACCTTGGAAAATTACAAATCTGTTGACTGATAAAAAAGGATGTTTTTCCTTTAATTTTTCTTTAACCCTTAGTAATAAAGTAGATCCTTAGGGAAAAACTCAAAATGGAAGAATCTTTCTAAATGTAATAACTTATATTTAAAATTCTAATAGTTTACAGTACAATGAAGTATAAACTAATGTATTAAGATGTGTCTTTAAAGTATTTCCATATGTTATTTGAGGTGAGATGTAGGTGTTGAACCATTTTTTAATAGACATTATTTACCAAAATATCTCTTCAACTTAAGGTAGTGTGACTGATAACAATTTGGTGTATGGTTTCTTGTCTGGATTTGATCTTTAGCTCCAAAAAGGCATTAATATTCAGGGGTTCTAGAATATACTATACGTTTTTGTGTTTTACTTTTAAAGCTTCTACGCAGATTTTGGACCACTCAATCTGGCAATGCTTTACAGATATTGTTGCAAGATAAATAAGAAATTAAAGGTAAAGTCTCTTTTATGTAAGATTTGACTTAATCATTGTTAGCCTGGTCTTGGGGAGGGGAAAGTATGGAAAGCACATCTGTTTTAAAAAGGAAATGTCATGTTTTTACTGCAGTGGTGTTTGGGGCATATTCGTGGTTTTCTTATTTTATAAAGGCATAGTGTATATGTTAGTTGTCCAGAGTTTTGATTGAGCAGTTTGAGTTTGGATCATTTGATTCTGGCTTGGATTAGTGATTCATAAATATTTGAAGTCCAAAGTGGAAACTGTTTAATAAAGTAAATCTCTTACTGTCTGACCTAATGGAACTGAAATCTAACAAGAGAAACATCTCTTGCTTTGATAGGAAGTTGTGCTGGCAAACAAAGAAGACCCTCCCCCTCTTACTGTCTCTCATTCTACCTTGACTCTCCCCTGATGTTGTACTACTTGTGATTTCACCTTGACTTTTACACATGGGATTCAGGAGCAGGGGAAACAAGGGCAAGCAGCTATCTTTGAGGCTGTCACTGAGAGCTGCAACACTGTATTTCTAAGCTTCAGACCCCATCCATTTATTTAAAAAACTTTGAATGATTGGTCATGCACAATGGGAAGTGTATATACTGCTAGCAATTCCTTATGAGTCATTATAAATTCTCAAGTCAAAAATACTGGATTTGGGACAGGTCCTTTTTAAAAACAACTTTATTCAGTCAATTACTTAACAGTCTATTACACCGAAGAAATAACATTATTTTCAATTAAAATGAAATTATATTAAAATTTATGGGTAAGGCAGGTGTTTTTTGTTTGAGTGCCAAACCAGAACTTTCACATCATAAATATTAGAAGCACCTAATCTGTAAAGTGGAAGTTGTAGTATTGCCTTTTTTAAATTGTTATTATTATATGTGTGTTCACTATGAATTTGTGTAGAAATGGAGACTCTTCTTTCTGCACTTTTTCTCTTAAATAAGAATATAAGCACTTATGGTCTTATGTGTTCATGTCTCCCCTCCCTTTTCCAGTTGTCAGTGGCAGGCTTTTTGTTTCATGCAGGGCCATGAAGCTAACAATAACTCCTCTCCCACCACTTGTGTTCCTTTGGTCTAATTTTGAAAGAATTTTTTTTTTTCCACACTCAGCCATCTATGAACTTGTATCCTTTGGATCAACTAAGAACGTATTGGTCCCCCACCTCCCCCTCTTTTTAATGTTTTATCATTTGCTAGCACAACTTGCAGTCTCGAGCATCCAAACTGGTCAAAACATTACTGCCTATTCAATTAGTAGTGATAAAACTGTGTCGAGAGATTGAATTAAGAGACCCTTGTGCTTGTGTTGCTCTATGGCTGGTTGGATTTGTTTCAGTTTTTAAAATCAACCTGGCTCTCTCACTCCACGTAAACAACTAAAGGAACATGTGCTCGCATCCATCACTGACTCACCGAGGCCTTGGACGTGAGCTCATTGAAGTGAATGTGTCCTAGCCTCTCCCTCACCGAATCCATGCCCACCCAGAACCCATGCCCACCCACGTTATTGAAGTTAAGGTGCAAAAGTGCTAACTCAGCATATGTTCCTCTGGGTTTTAACTTTGATACCCTTTTCATTTTTAACTTTTTATCGAAGTGCAGTGTATGTACAGAAATATGTACAGATCATGAGAGTACAGTTCAATCAATTGTCACAAACTGAATATACATGGGCTGTCCTCTTATTTCTTATTCATCAGGTAAGAGATGGGGCACTAGCAGCACCACTCAGGAGCCCACTTACACTCTCTGGGTATCTCTGCGCCTCTCACCTGACCTTCTTCCCCCCCTCCCATTCACTATACTGATGTCTAACACAAAGAATTACTTTTGCCCGGTTTTATATACTCTTTTATTGTAATTTAAATGTCTTGGGAATAGGTTTTGTTTTTGTGTGTGTGTGTGGTTTTTTGTTTGTTTGTTTGTTTGTTTGTTTGTTTTTTAAGTCAAACAGTTGACCTCGTCCTTCCCCTCGCTTCTTATTTATTCTGTCAGAGGTAGTCTGTACTTTCTATCTTTTCCTGTCTCCTTCCCTTTTCTTTAATTATACGTTTCTTCTGACCCAACAATGGGAAGGTACACGGTACTTTGGGATATCAAAATTAGTATTTTTAAAGGTCTTGCTAATATGAATGCTGAGATTTGGAATTTATCTTCATCACAAAATAAAGTTTTAGAAAACCTGAAATTATGAAACAATACACTAACAGTTGTGTATCTTTGTGCAGTCCATCCCAATGATAAGGAAGAAAATTGTTCATTTTACTGGCCCTGATCAGAGAAAACAAGCAAATGCTGCTTTCCTTATTGGATGCTACATGGTAAGTGTCTACCTCCTTTCCTCCTGTGTCAGTGAAAATGCATACAGCAGTGGTGCCTCACGTTTGCTGTTGGAAGTGCGAAATTATTTTTCTAAGATATTTTGATTTTCTACCTAGAGAAATATGTTTTGATTTTTTAAATTGATCAGTTGAGGAGGCTGTCCACATGCAGGGACAGGGGCATGGGGAAGACTCTGTCCTTTGTGCTCATTTTGCTGTGCACTTAAAGCCGCTTTTAAAAAGTCTGTTTAAAAAATTGACCAGCTGTTATGAAAACCTTTATCTATTATGGCGCTTAAGGTTAGAAAATAATGCCCTCCAGCTCAGCCAGTGTGGCTCACCAGTTGAGTGTTGACCTATGAACCAAGAGGTCACGGTCCGATTCCTGGTCAGGTTGTGGGCTCAATCTCCGTGTGTGGCATGCATGAGGCAGCCAGTCAATGATTCTTTCTCATCATTGGTGTTTCTATCTCTCTTTCCCTCTCCCTTTCTCTCTGAAATCAATAAAAAATATTTTTTTTAAAAATCAAAATACACTAAATGAAGTAAGAGTGCTTTATAGTTTGAATACAAGTTTTTCCTTACTAAAGTGTGATTCTAAGATTATCTTCATCTTCATCAGAAAGTCTAGCAGGAGGACGTGGTGTGGCAGTGCTGTAGGAAATGGGTAACATACTCCCTAGCTTACACATGGCATTGAGTGGTTGTCTATTGGACCAGTGGAAGTGTGTGTATTAATATTTACACAGGAATTATGAATTTCATTGGTTTGTAAATATCATGGGAGATATTTGTGGGCTTGTTTTTTTTTTGAGTCAGTTTTTCTCTAGCGCCTAGATTCATCTGCAGGACCCTGAGCAATAGTTTTTCCGGCCAGCTGAGCCTCCCCTGTCCACACCCTCCCTCTCCCCCCACCACCACCCACCCAGGGAACAAGGCCTCATCTTTTAGCAGAAGAGAAACAGCTCCTCCATTCAAGGGAGAAGCACCGCACAGATGCTTTTGCCACCTCCACCCACCCAAATTGTAGTAATGACTACCCTTCATTTAAAAAAACAAAGGGATTGCTTTTGTTCCTGAGATCCTTCTTTCTTCCCTCAGCTTGTTACTTGATTCCGTCATGCTGCCTCCCTGTTAAAATACGTATCTTTTCTTATGTATAACTTTATAATTGGGGATTTACATTGATTAGACCAAAAGTTGGTGGTATTAGTTAAAATTTCACCTCAAAATTGAATAGTTTCTTTTTCTGTGTCGAAACTAATTCACAACAATGATTAAGGCCTTTTGGGGGTTGTTTTCCTATTTGTGCCCACAAAAGTGGTTGAGAAATAATTCTGAGATAACTAAGTTTTATTATCTTTGCATTTGTGAAACACAGGTTGTATAATAGAATGTGCCTAGCAGAATTTGATTTCTTAAGCTCACCCAGATGTGATGTTGTGTGTTTGTTTTTCCATCTTTTGGCTGTTGTGTTTGGCTGTAAAAACTGTTAGGGGGAAAGAGCCTACTCAAGGTCTCAAGAAAAAGTGAGGATGTAAAGGTAGTTGTTTAACGAGGGCATTTGCTCTCATTACTTGGCGAGTCACTGGGGAGAAACCCCAGGTTTGGAGTAAATTATGACAGCTTTACAGAAAAGGGGAGACAGCCAGAGTTCTTGGGGTTTATAACTGATTACAGGGAACCCTGGAGGAGTGGTCCCTTCTTACACAGCCCAGGAGGAAACAATCTGCTGGCCGAAGCTGGAGGCAGGGGCGGCAGGGAGTGTGCTCCGGAGCAGAACTGCAGAGCGCCTGTGATGTTTTTAGGTGGTAGTTTGTCTCACTTTCGATGGCATGTCCGCAAGGTGGGGGTTCCTGGGGAATCAGACCTGGTGACCTCAGCGTGAAGAAGCCCTGAGAGGGTAGCTGTGGGCATGGTGGAAACCAAGGGTTGTCAGAAAAGCGAAATCAAAACACTTGATCATTTTATAAATAAGAAATTTCTCTTTTTAAATGTTGTTGTTTTTACTGCTGATTAAAAACAGTAACTCCTTGGAATATTCATTGAAAATTTGTTGGCATATTTGTTTGTAGTTTGGTGTTGGCCTTTTGACTCCATATAGGTTTGTATTTTGATATTGTTAAATATAAAACCAGCCCAGTAACGTTCAATATCGAATTGTCATTATTAACAATGCATGCAGCAGGCAGCATTCCATCGGGTAAATGAAAGGTGCCCCAGGAGCTGTAAACAAGGAGGAGGAGGGTCCGGCAGGCAGTGGATTATTTTAGGCAAGGTCTTCGGAGGCAGATTACTTCATTAGTGCTGACCTGGAAATTCCAGGCGGATTGGTTTAGAATTCCATTCCTGGGATGGCTGAAACTGCAGTTACGTTAGGTATGAAGTCTTAGTTCGGCTTAGCAACTCTGACTCCATTTTGGGCCTGTTATTTCTTTTTCATAGCAGGCGAAGTTAATTTGGGGGAGGACTTAATATATTTTTGGTTTACAAATCTTTTCAGGACTTTATGCTCTCAGGTTAGCGCTGATTTGATTGGTTAGGAAAGTGCCAGGTAAGCCATTTGGTCACCCACTTAAGTTCATTCCTGGTCTCAGCTGGAAACCAGCTTGGCAGGAGGATTACAACTCTTGGCTGTAGCAAGAGTTGTTGCAGCCATGAAGTCTGGCAGACATGGGAGCATGGAACTGTAATGATGCTAGGTGGGGAAACAGGAGGAAGGTATTAGGAAAAGGAAATAGTAGCAAAGAAGTGTTCAGATATAACGTGAATACCTCACAAGATTGACATCAGGGTAAGTACATGAAGGCTTTGATCTGGTTGAAGCCACCACTAGAAATTTGTAGTAAGATGATGAGAATTCTCCTAAAAATTGATCTTCAGCCTTGACAACTTTTTCAGGAGTTGCTGAGGGATTTTGGAATCAGTAAGGCTTTTTAGTGATTGCCTGGGGAGACAGAGGTGGGGTGGATAATGTTAAAACAGGCAAAAAATCTGGAGAAGAACTGTTGAGAAGTCAATTCCAAGTGGACTGACTGATTCTGCCTTTTTACACTCTGGGCCTCCCAAAGGAATGATTCTCCTTCATCCTCCTGATCCAAAAGGCCCTAATGGGTTGTGGAGGGGGCATGAGAATGAAGCATCAACACTTCTATCTATTAGGTCTAGTAATAATCAATGTCGCTTTCTAATACTTTTTTAAATCGAATTTATTTAAACAATACAACAAAATTTAATCAACAACATAGTTGCCGTTGTTTTCTACTACTTGTGCCCAACGCTCAGGAAGCATTTTAATCCCTCTGTTGTAAAATTCTTGTGATTTTGATGCAAAAAATTCGGTCAATGCATTTTTGAGGCATTCTTCATTATTAAATTTTTTTCCAAGAAGAAAGTTTTGCAAAGAACGAAACAAATGGTAATCAGAAGGGGCAATATCAGGAGAATATGCAGGTTGAGGGAGAACTTCCCATTCCAACTGGCACAGTTTTTCAGCAGTGATTCTTGCAGTATGCGGTCGTGCGTTATCGTGGTGAAGAATTACGCCCTTCCAATTATTCAGCGCGGGTTCTTTTTCTCTTAAAGCTTGGGCTAATCTTTCCAATTGGGCACTATACACTGCACTTGTAATGGTTTGGTTAGATGGTAAAAGTTCATAATGAAGAATTCCTTTAAAATTCCACCAAACACACAACATCACTTTTTTCGCATGCAAGTCAGGTTTTGGCGTGGGCTGCGGAGCCTCATTTTTGTCCAACCATTGAGGCCGCCTTTTCAAATTAACATACAACACCCATTTTTCATCTCCGGTAACAATTTGCTCTAAAAACGGCAAACGGTTTTGACGAGAGAAGAGCGAACTGCAAATTGTGACTCTTTGATTACGGTTGTTGTCGGTCAACTCATGAGGAACCCATTTTCCAAACTTTTGGACTTTGCCAAGTGCACGCAATTGATTGGAAATTGTTTTTTGTGAACAATTTAAAGTTGTCGCAAGCTCTTGTTGGGTAATTTGAGGATTTTGCACCAAAAGAGCTTGAAGAGCTTCTTGATCAAAATTGGACACACGGCCTCGACCACTCTTGTCATCTAACGAAAATTTCCCTCGCGAAATTTCTCAAAGCAACGCTGGCATTTTCTGGCGCTAACTGCATCTTGACCAAGAGCACTACAGATGTTTTTTGCAGCCTCACTTGCTTTTCTTCCTAATTGGAACTCGTGCAGTGCCGAATATGCTCTTCATCCGCCATCTTCTTAGCCCTAGTTTTGCAACAAAAACCAAACCAAACACAAACTTTTTCAAGCAAAACTTGTTAATTGCACTTCACACGTTCTGTAGATACCACGTGTTTGAAGGTTATGTCAATACAAGTCAACGCCAAGCAAGATTTTAAAAGAATGTTTAAAACGACATTAATTATTACTAGACCCAATATTTTATCCTTAAGCACAAGAGATTGGGCTTTAATGTAAACACTTAAAATACATTGACATGCCATGCTCGCCGGGACTTTTGCCGCATGGCCAGGCGCCATCAGTGGTGTAAGAAGTGAGAGGAGCAGCCTGGCTGTTCATTTGTCTTCTGTATATTTTCAGGTACCACACTTTATGTGGCCTTCTGAATGGATTTATCAACTACCCAAATAGTAGAATCTTTGGTAACAAATTAACGCGAAACTAAAAATCTTTTGAGCTGAAACCGGTTTGGCTCAGTGGTAGAGCCTCGGTCTGCGGACTGAAAGGTCCCAGGTTCGATTCCAGTCAAGGGCATGTACCTTGGTTGCGGGCACATCCCCAGTAGGGGGTGTGCAAGAGGCAGCTGGCCGATGTTTCCCTCTCATGGACGTTTCTAGCTCTCTATCCCTCTCTCCTCCTCTCTGTAAAAAATCAATAAAATATATTTTTAAAAAATAAAATAAAAAAATAAAAATCTTTTGAATTACACTGTAAAAGAGCTGAAGAGCATAACGGATAAGTGAAATTTTCTTTTACAAAAAGAT